TTTGCAAAACTATACAAATATATAGAACATTGAATGCACATTGTAATTGATTGAAATGTACACAAGGAGCTAATAGATAATTATAATAATAATCCTTCCATTTGATCTGATGTCTTATCACTTCAAAATGACTCAAAGAGCTTCACGTTAACTAGTGTGATGTGTAGTGACTGTATTTTGTCAGCAAATTTGGCACGAAATTTGCATACAGCAATGTCACACCAGCAGCCAGGATGTGAATGAACAATTTGACTGTAGGATTTGTTGGCCACGACACCAAGAGAGATTTCCTTTTCTTTCTGAATAGTACGTGGTATATTTATAATAATAGTAATATTTGCATTTAATATAGTGCTTTATGTCAGCATTGAGACATCTCATGGCCTTCACTGGATATACTGCAAGGTGTACTGACTGTATTTTGTGCAAATGTGGCAATCGATTTGCACACAGGAAAGTCCCACAAACAGTAATGGAGTGAATGATCAATTTTATTTGGAGGATTTCCCATAGCAAGAGTCTGGAGAGATCAGTCACTCTCTCTCCCCTGCTGCAGAACATGATGGATTGAGGCTATACACTAGGACTTGAGATCATAAAATAGGCCGATGCTCCCAGTGAAGTAATAATAATAATAATAATAATCCTTTCATTTAACAGCCCACCTGGATTTTAGACTTTTCCAGAGAAGTGTTATGACTGGATTTGAAGGCGAATACAGGAGACTACAAGGTAGTTGCATTTGATATAGTGTCTTATCATGTCACAAAATTGCTTGACATGGTGAGTTATTTTGCCTTGTATTGACTTTTATTTTATAATTTGATTTAAATGCAACAACTAAGTTATGCCAGCAACATGCCATGAGCAACAGTGAGATAGATAAATGATCCTGGCCTCTAAAACTCCCTGCTCATCTTTGAAATACTGTAATGCCACAGGATTTTAATATCCACCTACTCCAACTGAGGAGAGAGATAAGGTCTTTGCTTAATGTCTCATGGAAATGCTCGTTCCCCTGATATTTCAGTCCTTCTCAGTGCTACAGTGCAGAATCAGCCAAGATTACCAGCTCAAATCCTTAGAAAGACAATTTAATGCACAATCAGGTGATTCACAAAAAGTAGAGACATGTTTGGGTTTTGATTGCTACTGCCTTAAACAAATCATTAGGACCTGGTTAAGATAAGCAGGGAAACGTTAATAGGTTTATTATTCTCAGAACTGCATCCAGGAAATGGAGGCATTAGTTGACAAATGCACTATTTATTTATACTTCAGGACTATTAGACAAGGCAAAGAAGGATTTAGAAATGATACACCAAATAAAGTCGATACTGCCAGTCCATTACATCCCTGGAGCCCTGGGGTACCCCACAGTTGACCGGGCAGGGGTGGGAGGAGAAACCATTTGACGAGATGAAATAGAGACAGTTCGTTGAGTAGGACTCAAACCACATGAGTGCGATGCTACTTAGGTGGATGAGGGAGGAGAGGCGGTGAAGAAGGAAGGCGTGGTTGACTGTGTCGAACGAGGCAGAGAGATCCGTAGCCCTGTAGCTCAGTGGTTAGCGCACTTGCATCGCAAGCGAGAAACTTGGGCTTGATTCCCGGCAGGGCAAAACCTTGGGCAAGTTTCCTTAATCCACATGCCTGATAATAATCCCTCAAGAAAAAAAACAAAAAACAGTCACTTCAATCCACGACTGTTTGTGGGACACTGCTGTGGGCAATTGGCTGCCGCGTTTCGCCCACAAATATATAGTCAATTCACTTTACAGTACATTCTGTGAAACGCTTTGAGACGTCTAGAAGATGTGAAAAACGCTATATCAAATGCAAGGATTATTTATTATTATCCAGGAGGATGAGGAGGCAGAGGGAGCCCTGGCCGTAGATAGAGAGGACATCATTTGTGACTTTGACAAGCACTGTCCCTGTGCTGTGGGCAGGGCAAAAACCAGACTGCAGGAGCTTGAGGAGGGAGTGGAGGGAGAGGTGTGACCGAGGTTGACCTGCAACAATGCATTCCAGGACTTTAGCAAGGAAGGGTAGGTTGGAAATGGGATGGTAGTGTGCGAATTTAGAGGGATTGAGGGTGGGTTTTTTGACGAAGGGTGTGATAACAGTGGTTTTCAGGGGGAGTGGAACAGAGCCTGAAGAAAGAGACTGGTTGACCATGTCGGCCAGCGGAGAGGCAAGGAGGGGAAGTTGATTGACTAGCAGCTGGGTGGGGAGGGGGTCGAGGCAGCAGGTGATGAACTTCATGTGGATGATTGTGGTTGAGAGGGAGGAGGGAGAAATGGGGGCAAAGGGGTGTACGGAGGGAGGAGTGGCAGGAGCCGTGGTGGAGGGAGAAGGTGGTGTGGATGGTCTCGGTGGGGTGGAAGGCGACATGGGGGGGTGGGGGAGGATGATGCAGTCAAGTGGATGATTTCAATATTTGAGGCGAAGAAGTCAAGGATCTCTTCGCACTTGGTGTTTGATTCAGCCTCAATTTGGAATCCCATCTGAATAATAAATAATAATCCTTGCAATTGATATAGCGCCTAATCATATCATAGTGACATCTCAAAGCACTTCACAAAATATAGTGATTATTACCACTGAAAAGCGATCCGCCAATCGATTGACAACCAGGTTCCTACTTACTGCTAGGTAAACAGAGGCGTAGGGAGTAAGGAAACTTGCCTAAGGTTTCCGGGAATCGAACCCAGGTTTTCTCACTTGCGAGACGAGTGCTCTAACCACTACACTACGAGACTCCACACGTCTTCTGAAGTTCTTGAAAAGAAACCGGCTTTCGAATCGAGAAGCCATGGTCCAGATGGATTGCATCCGTGTATATTAAAAGAATCGAGGGAAGAGATAGCAGAGGCACCATTACACATATGTAATAAATCATTAGAAAAGGGAGTAGTGCCAGAGGACTGGAGGATACCTAATGTTAAACCTATATTTAAAAAGGGAGATGGAACAAGCCCAGGGAACTATAGACCTGTCAGCTTAACATCGGTGATAGGAAAGATAATGGAATACTTACTGAAGGAGGTAATAGAAAAACATTTAGAAATGGAAAACATAATAAAGAATAGTCGGCACGGATTCCAAAAAGGAAGGTCATGCTCGACCAACCTCATTGAATTCTTTGAAGTGGTAACAGAAAGACTAGACAAGGTTAATGCAGTAGATATAATATATTTAGATTTCCAAAAGACGTTCGATAAGGTACCACATAATAGAGTAATGACTAAGGTCAGAGCATGTGGAGTCAGGGAAAAAATAGCAGAATGGATAGCAAGCTGGCTACAAAACAGAAAACAGAGTAGGGGTAACGTGTAGCTACTCAGACTGGTAGGGGGTGGGCAGTGGTGTTCCACAAGGATCAGTATTGGGACCACTGTTGTTCACAATATACATTAATGATTTGGACTCGGGAATCAGTAGTACAATTTCAAAATTTGCGGACGATACCAAATTGGGTGGAATAGTTAATACAGAGGAGGACTGCAATAAATTACAGCAAGACATTAATAAACTTGCTGAATGGGCATTTAAATGGCAAATGCATTTCAATATAGATAAGTGTGAAGTGGTACATTTTGGTAGAAGGAATAAGGAAGTCACATACATCCTGGAAAATAAAAACCTAAATGGGGTAGAGGAGCAAAGGGACCAGGGGTACACATACACAATTCACTAAAAGTAGCAACGCAGGTTAATAAAGCCATAAAAAAGCAAACCAGGCATTGGGGTTAACTTCTAGAGGGATAGAAATGAAAAGCAGGAATGTTATGGTAAACTTCTATAGAACCGTGGTTAGACCACACTTGGAATATTGTGTGCAGTTCTGGTCCCCACATTATAGAAGGGATGTAGAGGCACTGGAGAGGGTGGAAAGGAGATTCACAAGGATGATCCCAGAACTGAGAGGTTATACCTGTCAGGAAAGGCTGAACATACTTGGACTCTTTTCTCTTGAAAAGAGGAAGGTCAGGGTGACCTGATAGAGGTCTTTAAAATTATGAAAGGTTTTGATAGGGTAGACATAGGGAAGATGTTTCCACTTGTGGGGGAGACCAAAACCAGGGGCCATCAATATAAAATCATCACAAATAGTTCAAATAGGGAAGTTAGAAGAATTTTTTTCACACAGAGAGTAGTGGGAATGTGGAACAAGCTACCACAAGGAGTTTTTGAGGCAAATAGCATAGATGTATTTAAGGGAAAGCTCGATAATAATAATAATAATAATAATAATAGTAATGCTTGCATTTGGCATAGCGCTTTTCACATCTTCCAGACATCTCAAAGCGCTTCATAGAATATACTGTAAAGTGAATTGACTGTATATTTGTGGGCAAAACGTGGCAGCCAATTGCACACAGCAGTGTCCCACAAACAGTCATGGATTGAAGTGACCAAATTAGTATTGTTTTTTTCGAGAGATTATTATCAGGCGTGTGGAGTAAGGAAACTTGCCCAAGGTTTTACCCTGCCAGGAATTGAACCCAGGTCTCTCGCTTGCCAGGCGATAGATAGATACATGAGGGAGAAAGAAATAGAAGTTTATGCTTGAAGGTTTAGTTGAGGAAGGGCAGGAGGAGGCTCAAGTGGAGCATAAACACTGGCGCAGACCAGTTGGGCCGAATGGCCTGTTTCTGTGCTGTATATTCTAATGTATTCTAATAAGACTACATTGAAGAATTTACCATAATTCTTCGCAACATTAAATTTTACGTCAAAATGATCTTACGGGTTAAGACTAGGTGGAATTGTGGGCCATTATTTGGAATTGTTTCACCCACAAAAATGTACAGTCAATTCACTTTACAGTATATTCTGTGAAGCGCTTTGGGACGTCTCGAGAATGTGATAAGGAGCTATATCAAATGCAAGGATTATTATTATGAGATCAAAAAAGCATTCAGGGAACAAAGGAGTTGATTGTGCAACTTATTGAATTCTATAGAAGCAATGGAGGGGTTTCTGGTACTTACCGTCACTGCTCTCTTCCAGTGTAACACTTCCTGCTTTTGGCTTACACCCTGTGAGTTCTCATTAACGTCTGCCAAAGGATGGTGTGAAATTAACGTGTCTGTACTAGATTTTGCCGCCTATGGAATTGCAATGGGGAAATAAAAGTTAGCACTCTTTTCATGAAAGTTCAAATAGTGAATTTCACTGTTCATTGTTAACTCCACTGGATGTTTCAAATAAGGGCCAAATAACACGCCTGAAATTAAAACTATTTTGGTGCCAAAAGGCTGTTATTGGATGGGTGGGTATTGATTGTTGGGGAGATGCTCTACAATAGGTCCAGTAGCAAGTTGAGCTTTTCTGGTGGGTCCCTGAGGGAAGGAGCAGTGCAGGTAATGCAAGATAGGTTCATAAGTGAACCTTTAATAAGGTGCTTGGAACAAGGACCCAAATTCTCAGGCCTATTCACATGGTGCTAAGTTGGTTTTAGAGACAGAAACTGATATAAGCTCAGGAGGAGTAACCGTAAACAGGCAATGGCAATGGACATTTTTGTTGTTTGACATTTCTTATGTAACAACAACAACTTGGATTTATGTAGCACTTTTCATGCAGGATCGTATCTTGGCGTGTAGTACAGTGGCGGAGTTGGGCGCTGAGCTAGGAAGAAGAGGGAGGGAGGAGGTGATCATAGACAGGGTTGAAGAGCTAGATCTTAAGGTGCAGATTTAAAGATTGTGTGGAGCAGACCCCCCACCCCCCCCCCAGGTGGATACGGACACACAGAGACTCTCATATGACACCAACACGGGCTTACTTTCTTCTCGGTTTTCAAGCACTATGAAATGTCTCGAAGACCCGACAAGGCGTTATATCAAATGCAAGGATTATTATTATTAATCCATACTAGTAACACCACAACCACAGAGGGGTGCAAGCACCTGGGTGTCTGCCACTCCTCTTACAGATCCACGCACTCACAACAACCCCTTCTCCCATTCTAAACATTAACCAACTTCGGGCTGGTCATGAGCCCTAGGCCTGGTCCCAGACCAGCAGAGATTTACTGTGATGTGTAGTAACTGTGCATTTTGTAGTCAAAGAGTAAGCGCACAGCAATGTTCCACAAACAGCCCCGAAGTGATATGATGGGATGTGGAACAGGGAGCCAAAATTGGATTGCCTACCTTACATTGCTATACTGTGAGGTGTTTCCGCTTTAAAGGGATGGCAGAAAGGCCAGTTTGTAAAACAGATTGCAATCTTCAGGCTTTCCATTTGATCTGCTTGTACGGTTCTTACTTTACCACACATGCACAGCTTTGAAAACAACTATCCACCAAAACTAATCATAGTGTTTCTTTATAGCAGTTCTCATAATTACTGACCAGGTGGTTACACATGAGCAGTTCACTTTGCAGACTTTTATGCTTGAAAATGTTGTCAATCCTGAGGAAACGTAATTTTCTCTATAAAGCTTGGATTCTGCAACCAGCAGTTTCACCAAATAGATAAGATTTTCATCCTTCTGAATGATCTATTAAATCCATCGCCACTTGTTATTCCCATATTATGTAAATATAAAGAAGAGCTGAGGGAGAAATGACAGAGAAGAGTAGCGTAACTCAGCTGAGTGTGAACCATAGTAAAATATTTGTAAAGAGTGTTGGCTGCATCCGCTATAATAAAATAATAATAATTCTTACAATTGATTTTGTGCCCTTCACATCGGGAGGACATCGCAAAGCGCTTCACAGGATGTACTGTAAAGTGTAGTGACCGTATTTTGTAGGCGAACGTAGCAGCCAGTTTGCGCTGAGAAGTGAACCCACTCCTTTTTGACTCAGAGGCGAGAGTGCTACCAACTGAAGCAGGTGAACACTTGACGATCATGCGCAGTTTAGTTGCTTAGCTGTATTTTGTAGGCAAACGAGGCAGCCAATTTGCACACATCAATGTCCCACAAACAGCCATGAAGCGAACAATCAATGTGGGAAATGCTCAATGTTCAGATTCTACACAGAAAATGTAATCAACAAATTGGGCAATAAACTGAGCTCCTGTTTACCTTTTCAGATGGATGTTAAAGATCGACAGGTACTATTCAAAAAAAGGAGCCAGTTTGGTCAAGGAGTAATTGGCTACCCTCGCAGCTCAGGCACCCAGAAAAGAGGTTGGTTTCAGAAGTAGAATCGATTAAGATGTTTAAATGGAGATAAATATTAATTCTATGCTTGGAAGTAAGAGTATTAAGGGATATGAGAAAAGGGTAATGGGGGTTAATATATCTAATACAATAGTGGAACAAGCTCAATAGGTAAATAGCCTTCTCTAATTACTATATTCACCTGCTCAGAATAGTCATCCTGGAACATAAGGCTTCATTGCATTCTTCCAGCTACAGATAGTAGATGTATGATTTTCTCCACTCCTATCAATGCTATCAGTTACACCACAAGCGATAAATCAATGAACAAGCACCAATTTGTTTTCTCAGATGTGCTGGTAAATGGCAACTAGTGAGGTTTGCAATAAATAAAACAGCAGGAAATTAAGTTTTAGCAAAATATCTTAATAGTAATTATCTCTGGCACAATTACACAGCTTAGTACAAAAGATGGTTGTTTCAATATGCTAGCTACTGATTCTACTGATTATATGTGCTTTTTTAAAATTAAAAAATTGCTTTTGACCCTAGAGTCCCAGGAGAAAAATAGTAGTCAGTTATCCAATACTTAACAAATCTTCAAATAGACAGTTTGATTATTTGGAATAATTAGTTCTTCTGTTGTAACTTTCTTATTAATTTATAGAATCATAGAATCATAGAAGAGATATCGAATCAATCCCGTTTCCCCACTCTTTCCCTATGTCCTTGTAAATGTTTCCTTTACAAGTACCTATCCAATTCCCTTTTCAAAGTTGTTACTGAATCCGTTTCCACCACCCTTTCAGGCAGCGCATTCCATACAACAACAACAACTTGCACTTATATAGCGCCCTCCACGCAGGGTAGAGTCTCAGAGCGCTCATACCGTAACAACGCTCTGTGTAAAAAAATGTCTCCTCATTTCCCCTCTGATTCTTTTGTCAATTATCTTAAATCTATGTGCCCTGATTACTGACCCACCAGCCAGTGGAAACGGTTTCTCCCTATCTACTCTATCAAAGGAGCTCCACTTCATGGGACACAGGTATCAATTTTGAGCCTCAAAGGAGAGAGAAGTAACAAAGGGGACATATACCATCTAAACAGACCCTGGACCTAGCCAAAAGGATACAGAAGATTGTGAGGAGAAATTTTAATTATTTTGAAGAGGGAGGTGCAGTTTGAACAAAAAAACTTGATGATAAAGATGGAAAGAGTAAAAGAGAAAGGAAAGTGAAAATACAAACACTCAGGGAACAGAAACGATTAAAAACATTAATCATAAGGTACCTGTTAAAACAACAAGAAAATAGTGAAAGGCAGGAGTCTGATAAACTGCCTGTACTGCAATGCACAGAGCATAGCTATCAAAATCTCAATGCAACACAAGGGAGAAGAGAATAAAGGGGTATAGTCAAAGTGACAAATGACATTTTGTCCACTTGCGACCAGGGCTCTCCCTGTCTCCTTGTCCTTCTCGACCTCTTGGCCGCTTTTGATAATGTTGACCACATGTTCTCCACTGTTAATGTTCTCCACTAATAATGTTCTCCACTACCTCTCCTCTCACCTCCACCTCAATGGTTCTGTTCTTGCCTGGTTCAAATCCTACCTTTCCCATTGTCCGCACTTTGTGGCCACCAACGGCTTCTCCTCTAGCCCCTGCACAGTCACGTGTAGTGTCCCTCAGGGCTCTTTCCTTGCTTCCCTCCTCTTCAATTTATCTCTGCTCTGCAATGTCACCCACAGGCATGGAGTCAATTTCCACATGAATGCGGATGACACCCAACTCTATCTCGCCACCTCCACCCGCACCTCCAGGACCATTGATGTCCTGGATAATTGTCTGTCTGACATCAAGCCCTGGATGAGAGTCAACTTCCTCCAGCTCAATGTTGGCAAGACAGAGGCCCTCCTGGCATAGCCTCCTCACCTCAGCCACTGACACTATCACCATTCATGCCTGCACTCTTCACCTCACTGAGCCTATCTGAAACCTCGGTGTCCTTTTCGACCTTCAGCTGTCCTCAAACCCATATTTGTGCGTGAGCCGTTCCGCCTTTCCCCACCTCTGCAACATTGCCCGCCTCCACTATTGCCTCTCACCTCAGGCCGTCAAGAACCTGATCCACGCTTTCATTAAGTCCCAAATGCCTGCTCACTGGACTTCCCAACTCTTCTCTCCACAAGCTGCAGATTATTCAGAATTCTGTACCTCATGTCCTCTCCCGTATCAAGTCCAGGAACCTATCACCCCCGTTCTTGCCCAGCTTCACTGGCTTCCCATTCCTTAGAGAATCGAGTACAAAACCCTTGTTCTTCCTTCAAGTCCCTCTATGGTCTTTCTCCCGCCTACCCCTCCGACCTCGTAACCCTATATCAGCCTGTCTGCTCTCTCCGCTTAGCAGACACCTGCTTCAGATCCCCTGCACTTCCTGCCCCACCAATGGTGGTCGGGCATTCAGCATCTCTGCGCCCACACTCTGGAATTCTATCCCGCAATCCCTCCACCTCACCCCTCTCTTGCCTCCTTCAAGTCTTATCTGAAGACCTTCCTCGTCGACCGTGCCTTTGTGAGGCGAAGGGACCGTGGGATGGAGTTCCAGAGTGTGGGGGCAGAGAGGCTGAAAGTCCGACCACCGATGGTATGGCGGGTCGGGCGGGAGACATGGAACAGGCCGCAGCCCGCTGAATGGGGGGAGCGGGCATGTTGGTAGGGAGTCAGCAGGTCCAGCGCCCTGGGATGTCTTTCCGACATGAGGGCTGCTATACTAGTGTAATTTGTTGTTGTTTTTGTTATGGGTGAGGAGATTAGAAGTGGTGGAAGCATGAACTAGTTAAGTAGCAAAAATGGCTTGTTTCCATGCTGCACAGTCTACGTAATCCCATATAATTCTGGCAAACTCTGCTGTGTTTTCCTTCCCATCTCCTCTGCACTAGATTTAGCTTTACAGGTGCTTTAATGGAATTGATAGTCTGTGTCAGTTT